CTCGGGAGGCTGAGGCAGGAGGATCACTGAGCGTTTAAGGACAGCCTGGGCTACATAGTGAGACTGTGTTAAAAACCCAGGGCTAGAAGGGAAATACAGAAATAAGAATGCTGCTGCTGCCGGAGCTCAGGGTCGCAGGGACTCTGGAGGGTAGTCTAGAAGGGTGGAGACTGGTGTCTGAGGTCGGGAAGGGCAGGGGTTCGGGAGGTGAGCTGCTGTGTGGGTTAACGCCAGGCGCCGTCCTGTGCCGCAGCTCACGGAGTCCTCCGCACGCCCTCTGGTGGCGGGTCCGGCCTTCATGGCTGCGCGAGCCCATCCTTACCTAATTATTCACGGCCCACCCACATTTCCCAGTCGCTTCTCCCTCACTCTTCGCCACGTGGCTGCTTCCGGATGAATACTGGGCTGTGATCAGATGTCTGCCAGTATGATTATGATTATGTGTTTTGTGACGGGGTCTCCCCGTGTAGCCCATGCTGGCCTCGAATTTGTGGTGCTCCTCCTGCTTTAGGCTCTTGAGGACTACAGGATTAGGATTACAGGAACGTATCCCACGCCGGCTGCAAACCAGAGTTTAAATTTCTTTTTCTTTCTTTGGTACTGGGGATCAAACTCAAAACCTTTCATGTGAGGCAGGCGCGGTGCCACTGAGCTAAATCCCCCGCCCAGGAGCCGGAGATTGAGAGACAGATAGAACTTTGTTCTATCCAGCCACGGAGATTTGGGGGCTTTTTGCTGAGGCAGCAAATGCTAACCGCCCGGACCCACACAGTGGAGGCCACGTCAGCTGCCTGGGGCCACACAGGTCACCGTGGGCAGAAGTGGGGCCTGATGGTAGTTTTCACAAACTCCACTTCAGTCGTCCCCAGGCGCTGCCAACCCACTGACATCTCACGAGAATGCTCAGCAGAGCTGTGGCCGCGTGGGCAGCGGGAGGACTCAGGCACGTGCCAGGACGGCAGGAATTCCTGACATTCTAGGCAGCACCCAGCGGTGACGTCCACGGTGACAGGTGCAGTGGAAACGGGACCACGGCAGCTCACCCTGGCTGGGCAGAGCTCCAGCGGGGGTGGAAATCCTTCCCCTAAGCAGGAGCTGGGCGTGGCAAACCGCGGGCCTCACCTGTCAATCACAGCCCGCACGCATGCGCATCCTCCGGGCGGGGCCCTGGCGCTGGTCCATCGGCCTAGTGGCCACTGCCTGCTTTCTCAGTAGCAGGTATGCAGGCTGTTTCTTTCTCCCACACTCCTCTTCTCCCTACTTTTCTTACCTTTAATAAAAGCACAATTTTTTTTTTTTTTTTTTTTTTTTTTTTGAGAGTGTCTGGCTGTGTAGCCCAGGCTTGCCTGGAACCGGAGCCTTCCCAGTGCCGGGCTGACGGGCGTGTGCCACCATGCCCGGCCTAAACATCTACTCTCTTTTGCTTGTGCTGTTCAGTTCTCTGGGAGAACCAGCCTAGAAGGGATCCCTGGCAGCCCAGTGCCTGGTAACAGGGTGACGCACTGAGAGACAGGCCTTTCTATGAAAGTTGTCAGAATAACTAAGTTGAATGCCAACTTTTATTTTGCATTCTAACCCTAGGTTTATTCAATACAATTCCTTCACACAACAAAGTACAAATATAACCTTATCTAAAATGCTACAAAGTTACAAAACAATTTTTTTTTGGTACTGGGGATCAAACTCCAGAACTTGCCCTTGTGAAGCAGGCGGCAGAACCACTGATCTAAATCCCCTGCCCCCCAAGTTTTTTATTTTTTGAAACAGGGTCCCTCTGATGCTGGGTTCCTAATTTTTTTTTTTTTTTGCTTTTTGAGACAGGGTCTCACTATATAGCCCAGGCTGTTCTTGAACTCACAGTGATCCTCCTGCCTCAGCCTCCCAAGTGCTGGGATTACAGGCGTGTGCCACCATGTCCAGCTTCCAACTCATTTTAATTGTCCTGATTCAGCCTCCTGAATGTTGGATTACACTTGTGTACTACCACACCTGGCCCAAACCTCAAATTCTATAGTACTGACTGTATAGTAAAATGCTACCGACCGTAGGGCAGCAAACACGGGATTTCACGAGGAGATACAGGTTCTCTGAAAGGTGGGAGCAGGTTCGGCGATGACAGTCAGACAAAAGCACTCAACACCGAGGTGAAGTTTGCAAATGCTGCTGCAATTTTATTTCTAACTCTAGGTGTTTATATACTAGTTTCAAGGGCACACCCCAAGACTGATTCCAGTCACAGGCAGGCATGAGAAAGATAGACAATAGTACTGTAAAAACTAAGACCACAAGGTCAAGGTGAGACCACACCTATATACCATCACAAAAACTAAGACCATTAAGTCAAGGTAAGACCACACCTATATGCAGTCAGAAGGGGAAGTTTGTAAGCAAAGGACTGGCTTCAGCATGTCACCTTCAGGATCACCTTCAGGACTTCACAGTCCGGGGCTCAGGGTCAGCACTTTGGCCGCCCGTCCTCTTGTGCCTCAATACCTCCCCATCTCTAGGAACATCTAATTGTTCCTAACCTTTCCTGGGCCCAGAATACAATTCTACAGATAATGAACAAATAGTAATAAAGACAAAATAGAACAGAATTACAAATGAACCCAATGTCCCCAAACTGCAGGCAGAGAGGCCAGCTATTCTCTTCACGGCTGACTTCGCATGCGGTGTGTGCCAAGGACTTCCAGGAGGCTTAACCCCGTGGGGACGATACCTCGGGTCTGGTTTCTGCCAGGTGACCGGCATTGTCACGCAGACTCCACTGGAGTGGTTGTGGCAGTAAAAGCAAAACAAAACAAAACAAAACAAAAAGCAATGTACAGGGCCGGGGATTTAGCTCCGTTGTTCCACCGCCTGACTTGCAAGCATAAGGACCTGTGGGAAAAAAAAAAAAAAAAAAAAAAAAAAAAGCAATGTATACATTGCCAAGGTAACCTGCAAGACCAGCATGCATGACAGGTGAAACAGGGGCCCCCCCGATGACTTGCAAAGCTGGCTCTCAACTTGTTCATGGACTTCTGAGGGTAAAGGAAACAAACAGGGCAGGCTGTAGTGAGAACAGGGAAAGAGGGGACCACTGTTGGAAACTAAGACACGGTGGGGACCCCTGGGGGGGTGTTTGACCCTAGATGCTGGAAGAGGGCTCAGGCAGGAACCCTAGGCCCACCAAGTCTCAGCCAAAGCAAGGTCTGGCCAGGATGCCCCTCAGTCACCTGGACAGGTCGGGCACCTGTCACCCCAAGGCTCTGTGGTCGAGCAGACTCTCAGGAGATGGGAATGGCAGAGCTTCCTAGACGGAATAGCACGGCACCCTTCTGGGCATGGCCCTGAGCCACCAGCACTCTGCAGCCGGGGCTCCCCACAGCTGCTCTGGGGCCCGGCTGGGGAAGGAACCTTTCCTCTGGCTCCTCCTTAGGCTAGAAAAGGAACTCTGGGTTTAACAGCAACCAACGGGATAAATCAAATGACCAATGAGAGAACTCCATGAGACCTGTGGCTGCTGAACCTGATCTCTTAATTTTTGCATCTACCTCCTAATTTCCTCAGAGGGATTTATCAGGTACAGCATGCATTAGCAACGGCACAGATGTTTTCCTTTCTTTCTTTCTTTCTTTTTTCTTTTTTTTTTTTAGATTTTGTGAGACAGGGTCTTAGTATGTAGTTCATACTGCCCTGTAATTCATTATGTAGCCCAAGCTGGTCTCGAACTCACAGCGATCCTCCTGTCTCAGCCTCCCGAGTGCTGGGATTATAGATGTGTGCCACCACGCCTGGCTTGTTTTTCTTAACTATAGGTAATCTAGAGCAATTTCCCCCCTTCCTTTTTCTTTTTGCAGTACTGAGGACTGAATTTAGGGTCTGCACACAGTCCTTTTTGGAGACAGGATCTCACCAAGTTGCCCAGGATGGGCTTGAACTTGTGATCCTCCTGCCCCCGCTTCCTAGGGTGCTAGGATTACAGACATGCACCACCATACCTGGCAGTCTAGAGTGGTTGTCATTTAATATCCCATGATTGAGTTGACAGCTTTTACTATAATTTGAACAAAGAGTTGCACTGAAGATGTTGGCAGTTACCCACTGGGAGGAATAAAGGAAACTAAGTTACCTGTAGTAGCTGCTCATTGTGAATTTCTCTATTTTGTTTTTTTCTTTTACCTATTTTTTGAGACAGGGTATAATCATGCAGCTCAGGCTGCCCTTGAACTCACTATGAAGCCCAGCTGGCCTCAAAGTGATCCTCTTACCTCAGCTTCTCAAGTGCTGGGGTTATAGGTATATGGTACCACGCCCGGCTTAAATGTGAAATTTTAACTACACCACTGTCTTTTGTTGTTGTTTTTTTTTTTTTTTTTTTTTTTTTTTTTTTTTTTTTTGGTACCAGGGATCAAACTCAGGATCTTGCAGTTGTGAGGCAGGTGGTGGCACCACCGAGCTAAAAAAAATCCCTGGCTCCATTGTTTTGTTTTTTGACACAAGCTCTCACTAAGTTGCCCAGGCTGGCATCACTTTTGTAATCCTCCTGCCTCAGCCTCCTAAGTGCTGGGACTACAGGAGTGTGCCACCATGCCCAGCAAGGATTTGGAATTTAGTCCGGTCTACATGTAGATTACAAGAATTTTAAAACAATTTAGAGCTACAATCTAATACCAGGTGTGATACAGTTTTTCTATAGAAACACAGCATCATCCTGAGTCTTCTCAAGGGTGAAAAATAAAAACCAACTTTCCTGAAAAATAAGTTTAGTTTTATCAGTTTTGACTTGACTTACTTGAGTGTAGCAAGAAAAGAGGTCCACTATATAGGAACATTTTTTTTACATAAGAATTTTATTTGATAAAATAGTTTTGGTTGCTGGGCATGGTGGTATATGCCCTATAATCCCAGAACTCAGGAGGCTGAGGCAGGAGGATTGCTACAAGTTTGAGGCCAGCCTGGGCTACACAGTGAGATCAAGCCCTGCCTGAAGAGCATAGTGAAACTGTCTCAAAAAACAAGCTGGGGGTTTAGCTCAGTGGCACCATGCAAGGTCCTGAGTTTGATCCCCAGTACCCCCCCAAACCAAACACCAAGAAGCCCAGACTAAACCAGATTCCAGCAGTGTCCTCATCCCTCACTCTAGCTCCTACCGGTCTCCCCAGCGGAGAGAGCACAGCTTCAGTCAGAATTGGGCTCAAATCCCCGCCCTGCCGCTTCTGCCTGTGACAATGAGCAAGTCACTCGTCTCTCAGAGCCTCCATTTCCTTGTCTGTGGTGTGTTTCTAAGTGTCAGAGGGCTGGGCACGGCGGTGCACGCCTGGAATCCCAGCACTCTGGGAGGCCGAGGCAGGAGGAGTGCAAGCTGGAGACTAGGTTGGGCAACTCCGAAAGCATGAATGGTAACGGCTACGAGTGCCTAACGCAGTGCTCGCCGGGAGGCGGCTACAGCCCAAGGCCGTCTCTTTCCCAGGTGCGAGCAGGGGCTGTCAAAGGACGGGGAGTCTGAGCAGATGAGAGCCGAGGCGGCCACATGTTCATTAACAGGCAGGACGCACCGGCCCAGCACAGCAGCTGTGGGACCCTTCGGGAACCCTGAACTCGGCTCCCTGCTCTTCCCCGCCCCCCTCCTCGGGCTCCTCCTGAGTCTGGGCGCCCCAGAGAAGGCCGCCCGCATTCCCTACCTCCCACCCCACCCCGAAACCCAGCAGGGCGCTGGCCGGGCTCCCATGGCCTCTCGGATCCACACGCGTCCGTCTCCGTGGGCTGTGAGCAGGAGGCCCCGGCTCAGCTCAGTCGCTCACGTCCAGGTCGAACTCTGGGTACAGCTCTTTGGTGGTGACGCCTCGGATCACAGCTGCAAGGGAGGAAGGCAGCGTGGATATCCAGGGAGAAGCGGCTACAGGAATGGCCAAAACCCCCGCCGCTGTTCTGACCCCCACCCCGGGCGCTGCCGCCTCCCCAGGGCGAGGGAAAGGAGCCTCCTGGCCTCCCTCAGGCCCTCCCGTGGACCCTGCCACGCCTCAGCCCGGCCCCAGCAGATGTGAGCCCCACCTTGACCTGGCAGCTAAGCGACTTACTCTCCAAAGCCTCATCCCATTGTGCAGGGTGCAGCAAATCCCCTCTTCAAACTCTGGTCTTTTATTTTTTGGCACAGGACGTTGAACCCAGGGCCTTCACACTGAGCTACATCCCCAACCCTTTTAAAATTTTGAGGCAGAGTCTTGCTAACTTGTCCAGACTGGGCTTGAACTGGGGATCCTTCTGCCTCAGCCTCCCGGACTGGTGGGATTAAGGGTGGCAGGCATAGCTTTAAAGACTCACTGTTTCCAGGGGAAGGCTGTCCTCCTTCAAGCATCTTATCTGTTTCCATCTGCCACTGTATTCATACTCAGTATTCTCCATCTTGGCTCTGTTTCCTTCAGAGCCCAGACCTTTTTAATAATTAATTAGCTGTGTTCATCTACTCAACCGACCGCTGCACTAAAACCAAAGCCACACAAGAACAGACCTAGCGTCTGCTCACCAGGTCTCCAGCACCCTGGACGGTGTGGGGCACAGAGACACAGGGCTCAGTAAATATTCACTGAATAGGCCGGGAGTGGTGGTGCACGCCTGTGATCCCAGCACTCGGGAGGCTGAGGCAGGAGGATCGCTGTGAGAGAACAGCCTGGGCTACGCAGTGTGAGCTCCAGGTCAGTCTCAACCACATAGTGAGACCCTGTCTCAAAAAAAAAAAAAAAAAAATTCACTGAAAAAAAAAAAAAAGGGACAGGCCACAGACGTCTGACATAGAAACGAGAGGCCGAGATACAGTCGACAGACATAGGATTCCTAGATAGCCCTGGCTCTGAACACGGCCTCTGGCTACCGGGAGCCTGCTGAGCCGCAAAGTTTGTCTGAGGCCATCTCTGCATGTCCCTGCCCTTCGAACCAGCCCACACATGTCTATCATGGCCAAAGCCCTCTGGGTATCTAGACTGACTGTAAGGTGGGACAAGATTCCCCTGTAGGACACAAAGTGCTGTCTTTGCACTTGCCTCCTCTTCAACAAGTCAGCACTGGAGGCCGAGAGGGCATCTCCACCACTGGGGCTGTAGGCCCCAGAAGAATGGGGACCCTAAGCTGGGTGTGGTGCTGCACACCTGTAATCCCAGCACTCTGGGGAAGGCTGAGGCAGGAGGATTGCTGCAAACTGGAGGGCAGCCTGGGCTACCTAGTAAGACTTTGTCTCAAAACACCATGGGGAGCAGAGGCTGGAGAGAAGGGCGGGTGGGGATTTAGTGAGTTAGGAGGCCCAGGAGCAAAATCCAACCCCTTAGAGGAGGCCAACACCCTCATCCCTGGGTGCGGGGGTCCCCCAGGGTCTCTGCTCACCCAGCCTGCCCAGCAGCATCTGCCCCACGTCCTTGATGTCGTTGTACTCGTGCAGCTGGGAGATGTGCTCCTCCAGTTCATCCACCCGGTAGCCTCTAGGGAGTGATGGAGGGGAGACACCACCACAGGAAGTCAGTGCAGACCCCGGGCGGGGACAGCAGCGAGGCCGGTCTGGCAAACGGTCACAGCAGGTATACTCAGCGCTCGGCACTGGGGACACAGGAACGGCTGGCGGACCTTGCCCTCCTGGCAGATGCTCCCTGTCCCTAAGGGGGGCCCCCAGGTGAGGGTCTCACAGATGGACGCGGGATCCAAGCCGCCCGGCAGATTCTCCCGAGTGGGACACGCATACCCCTGAGCGGCTCAGTGCCTGCCACTGGGAGCTCCAGGAGGTGTGGATGAGCCACTTCCCGTGTACTGAAACCACTGCAGAGGAAGTGAGTGCTTGTGGAGGCGGAAGCAGGGCAATTTCCAGCGTGGCTCTAGGCTCATCCAGGTGGACCTTGCCCTCCCAGAGAGGCTACTCAGACCCCTGATAGCATATATATTTTTTTTTTTAATGTAGTTCAGATTGGCCTTGAACTTGAGGAGATTCTCCTACCTCAGCCTTCAGCCCTAGGATTACAGGTGCGTGTCTCACCATACCTGGCCACAGTATTTGGCTAGTGTGAATAGGCTTTAATTACTAGTCACTAGCTAAGTATTGTTGTTTTTGTTTTCTGCAGTGCTGAGGATAGAACCATGGGCTTCGAGTATGCTAGGCAAGTACTCTACTGCTGAGCTACAGCCCCCAGCCCAAAGTTATACAAACTTCGCTTGGGAGCCTAATACTTACTCAGATATTAACTGGGATATCTCCTTGTCCAGCGTGTCCCTCTTCTTCTTCAGCTCCTGAACGTCAAGGTGCAAGGACTCCTTGCTGGTCCCATTAGCCTGGCCAGACTTGGCAGACGGCCGCTGAGTGGCAGAAAAAGCCATCAGCTGGACTGACCAGTTTTCTACAACTCAGAGCTTATGTGATGTTCCCAGATAGCCGCTCCTTGCTTCTGCTTGGTAATGCCCTCCAGCCCTCAAGGCCAGAGAACATTTCCTGCTGCCTGGAATGTGGATGTAATGCTGGGGCTGGGCAGCCATCTTGGGTGAAGAGGCAGAAACCACATGAGCTGGCATGGTGGCACAGGACTGTGGGCCGAGCTACTCAGCTTACGGGAAGCCGAGGCAGGACTGCAAATTTGAGGCCACTCTGGGCAATTTAATATTAGAGACCTTGTCTCCAAAAAAAGGAGCGGGGCTGTAGCTTAGCACTTGGGTAGTTCAATCTCAGCAGTGCCAAGAGAAAAAAGTGCCCTACGTCAAGGGTGTAGTAGAATAAGAAGGAGGCCGGGGTCCCTGATGCCAGTTTATGCCACTGTTTATTTACTTTTGGTACTGGGGGTTGAAACCAGGAGAACTCGACTACTGAGCCCCTTTTATTTTTGGTACTGGGCATTGAATTTAAGCTTGCGAAGCAGGCGGTGGAACCACTGAGCTAAATCCCGGCCCTGAGCGCCTTTTATTTGGACGCACGGTTGCATTAAATTGCCCAAGATGGCTTCAAATTTGTGATGCTCTTAAGCCTCCTAAGTAGCTGAGATTACAGACGTATGCTGCCAGCCTCGACAGAATTTTTTCCTTTTTGTGATGCTAGGAATCAAACCCAGAACCTCACACATGCTAGGCAAACGCTGTACCCCCGAGCTACCTCCCAGCCCTATTTCAGGTCTACGCGCACTCTCAGCTATACCGAGTCCTAAGGGACAGGCCCACCCTGGCCTCCCATTCGACTCCACCGAATGTGCACCTTGTTTCTTCCTTTGGGGGTCTAGTTCACCTTTGCCTTTTCTGCCTCTAAAAGCTGCTAAGGCTGGCACTTCTAACTGTACTGTGCACTTACTCTTCAGGAGGCATCTGCTGGACACCAGCAAAGATACAACATACAGCCAGGCCCTCATGACCAGGGAACACTCAGCCAAGGCCCAGAGAGAAAGGCCCAGCAAATAGCTCCTTCCTGAACACGGCTCTGTGGAAAGCTCTACTCACCTCCTCAGAAAGGCCCTTCCTCACTGCCCTGCCTCAAATGATACCTCTATAGTTCCCCCGCTGCCCTGGTGATTTATCGCGCTCCTGACATGTTGTTCCACATCGTTATGGTGGTGAACTCTGCAGGGCAGGGATTTGGGGTTTAGTTCCGGCTGACAGCACAGTGTCTGTGACGGTACTCTGGTAAAAAGCTGGTAGAGTGCAAGGCAGAGGGAAAAGGTGGACAGAGGGCCTGTACAGCTGATGCCATAGTGCAGGAGAGGGACGCGGGTTGGAGGGAATGAGGGGTGTTTCGGTGTGAGAGGCGTGAGTAGATGAGGGGACAGTGGTGTGACCAAGAATGAAAGCAACCACTTGAGGTGCTGTTTAGAGATGCGGCCAGGCAGCCTGGCGTGGCGGTGCACACCTGTCATCCCAGCACTCTGGGAGGCTGAGGCAGAAGCCTGCAAGTTGGAGCCCAGCCTGGACAATTAGGAGACTTAGAAAGACTCTGTCTCAAATTTAAAAACAAAAAAAGAAAGAGAACTGCTGTAGCTCAGTGTGAAGGCCCTGGATTAAATTCCCAGTACTGGTTTAAAAAAAAAAAAAAAAGAAAGAAAAAAGAAGTAAGGCAGACCTTACTGTGAGAGCCTGGGTACCATGAGCAGATATCAGGTTGGCAGGGCCTTGCTATGCAAGTAGTCCAAACTGGCCTCAGACTCAAGGTCTTCCTGCCTCAGCCTCCCGGGTGCTGGGATTACAGGCCCCTATATCTGGGTGAGGCGAAGCTATTCTACAGGCAGCTCTAAGTGTCCAGAGAAAGTCAGGATTGGTGAGAGGCAGCAGAGCTGTGGGCACTGGAGAAGAGAAGAGCAGAGAGAGGAGGCAGAACCACCGGAAACGCCCATTTACACAGGAGAGGCTGGCAGAGGGGCCGGCCAGGTGAGGAAAGAGAAACGGACGCAGGAGAACAGGATGACTGCTGCGCATGAGGCCCAAAGAGGAGAAAAGAAAGGGTCCCTGCGAAGAGCTCAGGCTCTGGTTGTGAGGCTGCTTCAGTTCAAATCCCCTAGCTCTGCGGCTTCTGGACTTCACCTCTCTGGTACTCATGGGCTTCAACCATAAAACAGATGCTGAAGCGTCTGGCTCAAAGGTGCTGGGGGACCTGGGAGAGTCGTACTAGAGCAAGCTGACTGGGATGAAGTAAGTGCACAGCAGGACATGATTTTAGCAGAGCACACTGGTGCACACCTGTAGTCCCAGCACCTGGAAGACCTCTGGGGCCCAGGAGTTCAAGACCAGACCGGACACAATACTGAGACCTCATCTCTCTTAGCCTTATTTATTTATTTTTTTGTTTTTTGACACAGGGTCTCACTATGTAGTTGAGCCTGACCTGGAACTCACTATGTAGCCCAGACTGGCCTCGAATTTACAGCGATCCTCCTGCTTCAGCCTTCTGCTTCAGCCTCCGAGTGCTGGGATTACAGGCGCCACCACGCCCAGCCTTAAAGAGCCTTATTTTTAAAAGTGTATGGCGGGTGCGGTGGCGCATACCTGTAATCCCAGCACTCAGGAGGCCGAGGCAGGAGGATCACTGTGAGTTCGAGGCCAGCCTGGGCTACATAGTGAGTTCCAGGTCAGGCTCAACTACATAGTGAGACCCTGTCTCAAAAAACCAAAAAAACAAAAGTGTAAAATTCGTTACTATGAATGTTATCATTATGCATATTTAAAGTATACCAATAAATGTTCTGCTTCAAAAAATAAAAGTGAATGTGAGTTTAAGGCCAGCCTGAACAGAACAAGACCCTGTCTCAATAATCTAAACAAAAATAGTGAATTAAGGAAAGAACGGGAATGAAGGCCGGGGATTTAGCTCGATGGTTCCGGTGCCTGCCTCAAAAGCACAAGGTCCAGAGTTCAATCCCCGGTACAAAAAAAAAGGCTGCACCGATGGATACGTAATAATAAACATCTGCTATTACTATACTAATGACTGCTCATTTAAGGAGAAATAAAAGTAATTTACGGATGGATACTTAAAAAAAAAAAAAAACAGCCAACCAAAAACCAAAACAAGAACGACAAAGGCGTAATTTGCATGCGTGTGAAACTGAAGGAAGTACTCTGGAGGCTCCACAAATCCGCTGCTTCCAGCAAACCTCAGCTTCCCCCTTTATTATGTTCGGCCTCGCCTCCGGTCTCACGTTCTCTGGGGAGCCCTACTCGCACCCCGAAGTCTGGGCTGCCCTCTCCCAACCACACTCATACAGTCCCGGAATTTTTTTGCCTGTTTATCCCGCTTGGCCTGTGGATCCTGGGAGGGCGGATGCTGGGCTGAGCAGGTACTTAGTCAAGGAACAAACGAAAACCAAGTCTTTCAAGACCTAATCGAGGATGGTGGTGGAAATCTCTAATGTGGGGGAGAGGAGAAAGGGCCTGGGGTTCTCGGCGGGACGGGTCGGCCGGGGGCAAAGGCCTGGGAGGCGCATACTCACCGGGGATCGGAAGGCCCCGCGGTAACTCCGGCTCAACCCTGGTTCGGTCCTGGGGAGGAAGCGGAAGGGACAGGCTGATGGCGCCGAGGGACCCTGAAGGAAGGGGGTGTGATGAGGGGGATCCTGGAGGTGATTCCCGAAACCTGCAAGTGTGCGGAGGAGCCGTGAGAGCTCAGGAAAGGGACAGTGAAGTGATGCACTTCTCCCTATTGCTCGTTCCTCGCCCACCTCCTTAGCCCTGGGGTCCGAGGCCCCCTGGTTGGGGGACTCTGCAGCGCCGGAGGGTCCAGGGCCGGAAGCCAAAGAGCGGGTACCGGCCCGCCAGGTAACCAGAAGGTAACCAGAAGTCACTGACAGAAGGGGCGAGGAGTCCCACGGCCACAGCCAGGGCAGACCCCGCCCCCGGAATGGGCGGGGATAGCAACTGCGCGCGCAGCTTTCAACGTGACCCTGCCCACCCACGCGCCCTCGGGGCAGCCCCGACCACGCCCCCACAGGGCAGCGTCTCTCTCATTGACCAATGGGTCTAGAGGACTGGGGTCACTCCCACACTGACGTGCACAGAGTTTAGTACCGCCCAGGTTACGCCCCTTGTGGCTGGGCAGCGTCCTGACGCGGTAGCTTTCGGAAGGAATTCCGCAGTGGCTGATGGGATTGTGGTGATGTGGCCCCACCCCTTCCCCCCTCCCAGCCCCGGGATGTCGGAAGAGACCAGACAGAAGAAATTGGCTGCGGCCAAGAAAAAGGTAAAACGCACCAGG